TGCATCATCTGAAAGCAACTGCGATGAACCATCGAGGAATGTTCAACGGTATTCTCCATTCTAGCCGAATTGCAAACCACAACTCAAAAGGTCTAAAAATGTATTAAATGAAAATCAGTGAAAATTATTGAATATAAGTTCAGAACGTTTGCGTTGGTCTACCTAGATCATATTAATAACTAAGGATATGAGAAAAGGTATACAGGATATGAGAAAAAATGTTACAAACTTCTAGAACATTTGAACATTATAATTTTCACTCAACCGCCAATTGATATGGGGCGGAAAATTTCACATTACCAAGTTTCATATGTAACATTTGCCCCTGATTCATAGGCAAATCATCATGCAATGGTGTTTGTCGAGATCTAAATCTCTCTTTGACAGAATGTGACCCACCTACATTAATGTTGCGTTGCCTACTGCCGGGAGGAGGGGGGGCAACGTGTGTAAATGTCTAACGTGTGGCAACATGGGTAACGTGTGTAAATTCGTTATTATATTGTTCATATTCAAAAACTGATATATCCCCTCTACGTTCCCTAGAAGTTAGAGATATTTACTTTAAACGATATTGTATTTTACCTGCTGACAGATTGGTCATAACTTTGAAATACCCCACGCATGCAGAAATTAAATGTATGATATAGTTTGCTTGTCTGAAGAACAAACTTTTCCTGTTATAAGAAAAAAAAACACGCTGTTTCTGGAAGATAATTTGCCTCTCAATTCATATCTAATTTCAGAATTTCTGTAACAACCTCAGTTTTCATGTGATGATTATTTTTTGCAAATGCGTATTCTCTCTATGTATATGTATCTGGCAAAATGTCACTTTCTAATAACCATTCAAAGTATACATTAACTACAATAACGTGTTACGGAAAGTGACGAAAAATACCTAAAAATATTTCCTTCCTGATTTCTTGCGATACATTGCCTCATTATACCTTTGCATCTTCTAAGTTCCAGCAGTAGTCTGACAACATTGTGCCACTCAAATTGCTACGATAACGCTTCCCCATTTGAGGAATGTCCTGGTGGATGTACTCGATATCACTACAAAAAACTATGTCACTTTTCTTGGAAATATATTTTCAAAAAAATGGCGATCACAAAACACTCAGTTTTGTTCAGGGAAAAAGAAGGTTCCTTCCTTTTAGTCGCGCAGCTCTACAGTCAGACTGTTGCTTTGACAAATTTAAATCACGAACAGAATTAATCGTTGAGAACCTCCTTAAGACACAAAAATGTTCATTTGAGTCTCATGAGGCTTGAAATGTGGGATCAGCATGGATATCTCCGTCTCTCCGACTCTGTCGTCTAAATGTTTGTCACTGTAGTATTTATCTTCACTGACTGTCACATTCTCAGGAAGTAGCGGTACCAACAATTCTTCACTATGACTTACATGCCTTAGAGAAGAGAGTGAATCAGGATATTATGTTTTTGATATAATTCCAGCTATTGTTTGTCAGACAGAAATAACAGTCTTGGTGTGTGATCCGTTGGTTCCATCCAGAACATGTGAACAGCAAAGGGCATGTGTTATGTACCTTTTAACCAGCTTGTCAGGCGTATACCATATGACACACAGGATATATGTTTCAGATCCCGTTCACCAACATTGCACACGAAATAAAGATCGAAACATTTCCTTATCAAAGCATTAAGGTTTGGGTTTTCAGAGTTAATTATCAACAGATATAACAAAATGACTTTGGGCTATTTACATGTTACGAGGCTTTCTTCCTCTAAATTAATACAAGCACAAACATTCACGAATCTATGACTAAAACGCAGTCACATCCAAGCACTTTCCATAGTATCAGATGTCTCAACGCTGGGACACAACCGATAAGATTCTGTATTCTATTCTAGCATGACTTTTCAGCAATGTTGCCAAACAGTTCTGATTTCCTAGAGATGGATTTTCTGAATTCAGTGTCATGCGTATGTATATGTATGAATTCTTGTTCACTTTTATATCGTTTCTGAACAATTAGATCTGCAGAATAATTATATCAAGCTGCGCCAAAATAACGAATTTGCAGCGTTTTCAAGCATTTCCGTAAGTAGGAAGTAGCGTGTAACAAGAAAACTGATTTCACAATCGCATTCAGGGTTCACATCTTAGCTTTAAACACCATCTTCATTGTTACAAAATGCTGTTGAACGGTGTAGTTATAGGATATTTAATTCACAGAGGCTGGCTGGTCGAGTGAACAGTGCGTTTAATTGTTCATATAATATGGAATCAAATAAATTTTACACAATTACACAACTGAGTATATTCAACAATTGTGTTAACATTTCATAATGATTACAAGATCAAGAGAATTAAGATTTAATACACTTGTGAATTCTACCAAAAATATGTCTTACAAAACCTAAAAACCATTATTGTACGCATTTTTTCACACATTTACATTCTCCTGTCAAGTGACCTTCAGTTAATAAGACAATTCAGGTGCAATACATATAGACAATTAAAATAATATACTAATATTCCTGTCTTCAGGAGGTCATTAAATAATTCCGACAAAAAAGAATGCAAACTTATCATTATTTGAGGTTTTCTACAATATTTTTCTAGTAGAAACTTTTCTTTTTACTGAAAACTAATTTTGTAAGCTGTTTCTAGACATTCAAATCCAATACTCGAAGCTGCATGGAGACCAGCACTGCGTAGTAGTATTGAAAGGGGGATGAGAGATAACAGTCGGGGCGAGATTCCTAACGGAGACAGAAACCCAGACAGAAGAACTCCAGACAGAAAACTTGCCGGGTCGGTGCGCCAGGCTAACCGCTAGGTCTCCCCTCCCCTAATTAACTACATCTCAACCATCAATGAGGAGCAGCTGCAGGCTTCTGTAGATGCAGCGCGAAGTATTTGGACTTGTGTTCGGAAGCAAAGCAAAAAGGAATATCTAAATTATTTCAAATGATGTATCCTTATATAGTATTCGAGTAACCTGCGACCATGCGTGCGTGTGTGTCTGTCAGGCACTCACACGCTTCCCGTCCACCAATCGAGACAAAAGAGATGTGAAGATTCTAAGAAATTCCCAAAAAAGTGTTTTTGCGCGCTGAGATCTAGCGGTGGCCGCGCGAACCACGTGCTCTACCGACCTGCTGTGATGTGATCCCAATCCGACGGCCCACGTACGTAGGCGATTAATGAAAAAAAGATATCCAGATATTGTACCGCGCGGACACAGCGGTACAGTACGCGGTAGAGGTCATGGATAGGTAATTTTACATACCAAACTATATTCTTATATAACTCTGTCAGAATGAAACGGTGTGTTTTAAATTAGGAACTTGCAAATGTACGTTTTTTAATAAGCTTGATAATACACTGAAAGAATGTACAATTTAGAACAGCTATTCTGGGAGCGTTCAGATTAGATTCTCCAACACCGTATTTTGAGCTGGGTAATAGCCGTAGCCCGAAAGAATATTGGACAAGAGTTACGACCACACTTTTTGTGTATTTTTGGATTATTTAATTTTAATTCTTAATAGATTATTTGTACGTACTACGCCCGAGAATGAAAGAACCAAATAACAGATTCTTAACACATCACAGTATTTTAAAACAAAGTAAAGCGTCGGTGATGCCACAACAGCTAGTAACATACCACACTTGGCTCACATTAAGATCACAACAAAGAGGCACCCACGATGCAGTAAGTCCGAATACACTATCAGAGAATAAAATTTGATAGACACAAGAGCCACACTCTTTCTGACGCTCTCTCATTCAAAGGATAGTGAAAGTTGAGTTTCAAAGATCCAAGAAAACTACCCACAAAGCGGCAACCAGTCACGTAACCAAAAAAAAGGTCAGTCTTAGGAAGTAAAGAGATCAACGGGAAAAACACGTTAACTAATACTGAATTAATTTTTAAAATATAGCTATAAAGTCCCAATACTTCTAGAGGAAACAAGTTCTTAACAAAAAAAATTATATCTAAAACTCTTTTGAGTTAAAAGTCTATTGAAAAGTTGCTGCAAGATGTTAATTAAATTTAGAAAGTTGCCATCATATCTTTAATTGCTCCTACATCCTGCCGTCCAAAGATAAAGATGGAGTGGGTACCATAAACAGTCGTCAACATCGAGAGTGTCTGAACGGACATGGCCTGGGTATTTATCGTGAAAGGCACTCAGAAAAGGTTGTCATGTGTTTTTTCAATCCAGGCTTCGAGGCGCACGAGTATTATTACAACAGCGCGCAAGTTGGAGCTGTGACGTAGATAGAACCTTCCCCATCCCGCACCACCCGCTGTGCAATAAAATTTAAGTAAAACAATAAGAAAAACTTGTGCAAGCAGTATATTTCGTTGTGACGTGTTACTGGGCAGTACTTTGACAAGGACTATACACGCAGTGTGCCTGGTCAGTATTTTCACCAAGCAGCAAGCCCACAACGTAACTCAACTTTCTTGTGCAAAGTAAATGAAGCCGAAAAAGAGCATCGCTTGCACAGTGATTACCTACTTCTTTTTAAGTAAGATTGAGTCAAAAATTGATTGATTGAGCAAAATGAAATTACTCAACAAGGACCGCAACAGATCAATAATATAATAAATGTTTTGCAACATAAGTAACAGAACAGGAAAATTATCCAACTACAAAACTTTACTAATAAGATGTTTATGGACCGTAAATAATATACGGTTGTAGTCTCTTGTAACACGCCTTATCAAAAAACCCTCTCTGTTTAAAATAGATAAATTTTTCTATACATAAACAATGCCATCAAACACAGTGTGAAAGGCTGGTTAGAAAATTACCCCACCATCTGATAAATAAGAAAATGTAATAGAAGCAAATTAGAATTAATATTATTTTCATGAAATTATGTACGAAGTTAACATAATTGTGTCAACATATCTTTAAGAGTTTTCATATCACTGATTACACTGATATCCATACAACAGGCATCACATAAAGTCACGTCGTGGTCATCAATGCTTTGGTGTCAATACCCATTAAGGTCGTTGCTCCGTATGCCTGCGTTTGTGCGTGGCGAGGTTGCTGGCATCGATGAAAGCCATTCCACAAACATCGCAAGGATATGGTCGTTCGCCCGTGTGCCTGCGCTTGTGGACAGCGAGGTCGCTGGACTGGGTAAACGCCTTTCCACACAAGTCGCACGGAAACGGGCGCTCCCCTGTGTGAACGCGGCGATGTCGCGCCAGGTTGCCCGGTTGGTTGAAGGTCGTTCCACACACGTCGCAGCTATAAGGTCGCTGTCCCGTGTGCACGCGCTTGTGCCCGTTGAGGTGATCTTTTCGAGCGAAAGTTTTACCGCACACGTCGCACTCAAAGGGCAGATCTCTCCTATGCAGGCCCATGTGACGCGCCAGTTTCCGGGATGTATTAAAGATGGCGCCGCACTCGCTGCATCTGAAGTGCTCCATCAGCTCCTGGTCCTGCAGCGTTGGAGGGCCCCATGCGCCTGCACAACCACGCAAAGTCGTCTCACCGAACGGTCTCGTCACTCATAAACTACATAGGCACGACAACTGGCAGCCATAAAAGGTCTAACACAGTTGACGAGCCCCCGCGTTACTTACAAAGGGCGAGGGGACGTACCGCCGAGACCAATCGTTGGGCTAAGAGAAGAGAAACTATCCGCTTACTCACGCTAGAGACAAGTTGGTTGCTTCGGCCATGCGCAGGAAACTCATGTAAAAGCATAAAGTACTAAGTCTCACCATTTTCCGTACAGCACTAAAAAGCAATATAATTCAGATTGAAGATAATCGAGATATTTCGTAATGTGTCCAAATGTTCTTGTGGATGGAAAGTCTTCTTTGCGAATATAAAAACCAGACCTGGTGGGAGGTCTTGCACCGATCCTACAATTTATCCAACAGTTATACAAATACGCATGAGTTGGCGTTCAGGACGAAGAGAATTACGAAGAAAATCAGAAGAGTCGAATAGCAAAATAGATGTAGATATCGAAAACGTAAGTCCTTCGAAAAGAAAGGAAGGAAGAAGAAAAAAGATAAAAAGGGGGGAAAATCCAGGTCATGAAATATAACAGCAAGAAGAAAAACAAAGACATCCGCTAAATGAGTTCAAATCAAGCGTTGAAATGGTGCGCGTATTCTCAATTATGGCCCGACTCAAACACTCCAAGGACATTTCGGCGAAGGAATCTGGGAGCTCAACTGAGAAAAAGAATGACTATATACGGGCGAAGACGCGCTATCGCAACTCATATTCCGATTTACTTTCTCGTATACGTAATATGCGGAGTATAGAGAACGTAATGTAATGCAGCAGAAAAACGAACGGTTTCGAAATTGCAATCAAAATAAGCGTTTTGGGGTACCCTTATACCACAAAAATTATTTTTCTAAATATTTTTTTCTCCCAAAACGTCCGCCCGTTTTCTGAATAACATTAGCGCGTAAATTATTCACAAATTTTATCCAAAATAAATATTCTCCGGTCGATCATGCCTGACTCAAAAGTTTGTGATTTTGAAAAACAGTTAGGGGTATTTTACAATGAGACCATAGGACATTTTCAAAATTTTCTCAAAAATGGCTCCAAAAGCCCAATGGCTTTTTGTTGCTCTAGAGCATTAGAACCAGTTAACGCATGGTACAAAAATGATTTTATTTCAAACCTAATTTTAATTATCCATTAACTTATTTGCGAATAAACTAGGTGTTAACTTGACTCGGTTTGTCATTTCGTATTTCTCTCCCAGAATTCCCCCCGTAAGGGAACATGTAGCAACATTCTTGAAATCAGCATAGCGGGGCCCAGATATTTTCTAGTAATCTATTGAGACACAAAATAGCACATTCGCGCAAAAGTTCAGTTTTCGCTCTTGGCGGCATAAAAACTGCCACGCGATTGCACCTGTTGTTTTTTTCTACGATAATGATGAATTGTAAGAATATTTTTTATATATTTTTGGCACAAAATGTCATAATAACCGTCTTACGCTAATTATTATCTAATTAAATGTATTGGTTATTCATTACGTGCAATTTGTGATTCCAGTAATCTAGATTTTTAATACTATTTGCGTTTTATTATACCATATTTAGCTTCCTAGTCTGTGTCTCTCCCCCTCCTTACCATTTCAACTTATTAGATTTGTATCTTCTTACTTCATTAGATTTTAATTTAGATTTTTATTATATCATTATATTGTATGTATTTGTCATCAGTGTTTTGTGAAGCCGAAGTAGAAGACTGATTTTGTAGATTACCTCCTTCAAAAATTTCTTTTCTGCAGAATAATAATATTGTTTCAATAATTTTTTAATCGACTACAATGTGCACTTGATGTTATTTAATAAATTCCCCATGGGTGACGATCAAGAGAAGCTGTAATATTGAATGTTCGTCGGCGGCAAAAAACCGCCCTACGCACGCCCGAAGTGGGTGAATATCGAGCTCCGTAACAAAGGCAATAAAATGCAATAACGTATCAGTAAAAGATAAAATTATTTTCTTAACTTACAAAAATATTTCGCGCCGTAAAGAGTTAAATATAATTTCGACCACCAATATTCACGTAATTATCTCGTGTTTTTTCAAAGGGTAACAATGAAAAATCATCAGAAATCAAAATATGTGTGATTTACTACGTATCACGACCTATTACTACATATCAAAATATGTATTTGCAGTTTCTCTAGCACGCTTCATTTTTGTGATAAGATGGTTTTAATATTGCGAATTATCCCCCAAAATAACGACTTCCTTAGTCAACATTGAAAACTTATCAGGAAAGAAAATATGAGAGATTTACATAGTGTCACTCCCAGATTCCAAATTTGTGCTTCGATTTTCTCTATTATAAATTGTTTCCGAGTTAGGATCATTAGTTTTCATATGGTGACCATGTTAATCTCAACGGCGAAGTTCCTTCATGAACTGCTGCTGCTACTAAGGATGGAAAAGGCTCGTATTTAGACTAGCGAACATAAAGAAGAGGCAGAAACAGAAGACTTTCTTGTGAGCCTGATAAAAATAATGTCTCTTGTTGATTCCAAGATGGTATTTCTCCATCCACTTCACAGTTTGGATTAATTGTTTGATGAAGACGATGGGTAAGGCAAACTGTGGAGCGTTCCAGTACCTGTGTGCAAAGTTTCCGAAAACCACCGCAGCAAAATGAAGAAACGTAAACTTCCTAAATCTGAGAGACTAGAAAATGCGTTAACGCAAACAATGACTCCAGAAGGACAAGATGTCTTGCCTACATTTTTAGCGTGTGTATGAACCTTTCTGAGTAAAAAAATCTTCCAATTTGATGAAATCAAGAGACGTTTGTGTATATTTCAAAAACCGGGGGAGAGGGGGGTAGAAGGTCAGTTAAGTTACACACTTTCGACAATCCTATTTAGATTTCTTCCCTGAAAACGTCAGTGCCTTGTCATGTGAACGTCATGTGAACGTTTCCACAAAGAAGCAATGCTACCAAGGTTTCTGCAGTGACTACCTGATGGCAAACTTCCATTCCATGTAATACCCAGAAGATCCAAAAGCAGTTCACTAGAGGTGTAAGAGTTCAACGCATTTCTGAATAACCTTTACTAACCACATGTATAAAGGAATGGAATATGGTCGAATTTTAGTGGTATAAATGGATTCGCAATTGTACAAAAATGGTATGATGGCGTAAATTTGAAAACCGTCATCTGTAATATAAACTCGTTTAGAAAAATATGCTCATATTACTGGTTTCTGGTGACAAGTTTCATTTTGTAGACCTGTGAAATCATAATTGATATGCAATAGTTACAAATTGTTTAGGGTTCTTTTAGGACCTGGCCACTACATTTCTCCAGTGTATATTGCGAAGAGTTCTTTCATGTGCGAAATACTATCGTTGTAAAATCATAGTCATAATTCCTTGAATTTTCTATACATCGTAATTCCTAAGGTTGAACGACTAATAGGAAAGAAGAGCGAATTTGTAAGTTGTTATATGTTTTGTTGCTTTACATTAGACTAAACCGTTAATTACGCCCCTTAATATTTTTTGTAATCAATGGTACCTAGATGATTTTCCAGACTACGCGCTGGTTGATATTCGACCATTCCCCCCCCCCCATCGACGGCTTAATCATCAATTCCACTTCAAAACTTTATCGACCCTAGGGAGACACTACCGACTCCGTTGGGGATCCCTGGTCTATTTCGTACCCTCTAATACACCGATAGATTTCTCCTGCTTCGAAATTTGACCATTGAGTAAACATATTTTGCATTTGAACATTCCAGAACATTTTCTGCGCGTAATTCACCGAACAAATAGAGTTGTTTTCCATATCAATATTCAAACAAAGAAATGTTATTTATAATACCATAGTAATTTCATTCAAAACAATTTTAAGATTCCAGAAAAAACTTTCTCTCTACTGCTTAAGCGGTAGCGAGAAAGTAAAAATAGCCAAGATTAGGGATTCAAGAGGATGTTCTCCGCCTTAGAAAATGTGTCATCGCAGCGCAGAGTATTTGCATCGGGCGCTCACAAGAAGAGTTTTCTAGAAAACAAAAATTTCCATTGAAAAAGAATTTCACCAAACTTCACCGAATAGAGACACGGGTACATGTCCAAGTATTGCCGAAATAATTTTGTGGCGATCTGCCTCCAAATTCAGTGTTTTGAAATTTAAGCATTTTTGGTTTCGTTGTCATTTTAAAAACCCAAAACAAATACCCTTGAAATGAAAAGCATGACACATATGTATGTTATTAACCATAAGCACACTGTGTTCCTTTATTTAATTTCTATATAGTTATAATGAACAAGAAATGCTAATATCAGGTTATGAACGAATGCTCTAAGATGTTTAGAACATGGTCACTCCAAGATTTTTTAAGACACAATTATAATATTTTAAAACCATTAAATACGAAAGTAAGCCAATACACACACCAACATTTTAAATTTCAATAACATGTATCTCCCTATGGAAGGTTTATTATTCACTCTCCCAATGTCTCACTTTCTTTCCAAAGGGTACATAATAGTTACGTATATTTTTTTTAAATTAAGTATACGAGTCTTCATAGAAATAGCTATATGTAATTCTGAAAGGAAAAAGTGTCAATTTTTCGAAACAAAAACAATTTTTGTGGGTCCCTAATACAAAAAAAGTGAAGGTTTATTTTTCATATAAATAGAAATTTTTTTCCTGGACATTTTTTCTTTCATTTTTTCCGATTTCGTTTTACACATTCAATATTGAAGCCAGAGATATTTTTATTAATCCATTCTATTTCTAAGCATGACATTGGTGGCATGATAGACAATAATAATCACAACATTACAAATTCATTTTATTACAAATGTAGAGACTACCATGCGGTCAGAACAATGTAAAGAGAAGCCCACGAGTTCGTCGGCACTCCGGCTCCAATCCCAGCCTGAATAAATATTTGTTTTTCTCACTTTTTATAATAATAGAACACAAAACACACTATTCAATACAAGCCATTTCCATTTGGCCTTTTGAAAGTTC